TTAGGTTGTTAATTTGTATTTTATTAATGTTATAGTTGTATTTGTATTTAATTTGTAATTTTGTTTGGATTGCATAAAGACATGGAATTTATAGCTAGAATTTTTAAGTGTATTTAAGTAACTTTATAATAAAACAAATCTGGGTAAACATTGAGGCTTCAGGAGAATTAATTTTCCTGTAAAAGAGGTCTGTACATTACTTACATTTAAGAACATTCCTCACGACAATTCCATGAGGTAGTTATTATTCCCCTCATTTTACAGATATAGCAGCTGAGACTATGGTCATGTAGCAAGTCGCTAGTGAAACTGAAACTTGAACCCAGGTTAGCCGAAGCTCAAAGTCTGTGCAGCCTCGCTTGGAGTGGGGAAAGATGGTATATGGGAGGTGTGAGGGGTGAGGTGGGTGGTGTGAGGGCCACGGAAAGCCAGAAGGCAAGCTGGGGGCTTCATGGTATTCAAAAAGCAGGAACAAGGAGCTAGGTGGGCTCAGAAAGTGAAGTAGGACAGGAAGTTTGGTCAGGGGCCCTCCAATGCAGCCCAAAGACACCTGAAGATGCATCCATTCCTTCTCTACAAAGCCCTGCTGGCTGCCAAGGATATAGAGATAAATAAGACCATGTGCACCCTCTCTTCAAGGAGTCTATAGTCTTGCTACTATCTCTTAAAGGATGTCTGCCCGTAAGAGGGCTGATTTGAAGTCTACAGATCTCCAATGTCCTGCCAATGTCTACCCCTACCCCTACCCCTACCTCAGCAGAAGTTGTCCCAGTAACTTTTCAGTCCAGTGGAGCAATGTCTACCCACACTCTGCCCCTCTCTGCTAGAAAACAGAAAGGAAGGGAAGAAGAAAAATGCAGAAGCAGCAAAGAGTTCTATTCAGTTCATTCAAGAAATATTTGTGGTGTACCTACCACAGTAATGGAGCTATGCTGGGTATTGTGGGGCATAAATGATCCAGTTCTTGCCCTCAAAGGGTTTCTAGTCGTAACCACAATAACTGCAATAAACACTCAAGACAATGCTTACCTAAGCCAGGCACTGTTCTAAATGCTTTACATAGATCAACTCATTGAATCCTCATCATGGCTCTATAAGGTAGGTATTATTATTATCCTCATTTGACTGGGCCACAAAAAAAGTTAAGCAATTCATCCAAGATTACACACACACACGAGTAAGGGTAAGGTCAGGAATGGCACTCAAGCATTCTGGCTCCAGAGGCCCCCATGCTCTTACTACACTGTAACATATAGTAGTTGAATGATGGCCTTAAGACAGTGGGATTTAATTGAATGATGAGACCACCAGCAGATTCCCCACCACCGTCCCAACCCTCAGCAGGGTGTTGCAAAGAGCATGGACTTTGCAGTCAGGCATGGGGGCAAATCCAGGCCTGAGAGCAATACTTGTCAGCCTCAGTTTTCATGTCTCTAAAATGGTCATAATAAAAACCAGGCTATTTTCAGATTAAATGGAATAACATATACACAACTTTCAATTAGTAAATACTAATTCACTGCTTACTGTCAAAACCTAGCTCCCTCTTCCTGGTTCAGTTCAGTGTCTTCCCAGACACCCCCTGCCCATCCTCCTCTGGGAGAGAGATGCAAGGAAGAAAGGGATTAATGAAGAAAAGGACCAACAGCTTTACTTATTTTGCTGGAACTTCACTCTGAAACTTTGGACACATCCCTGGTGACTCCTGAAGGTCTGCTCTGTCCTGCATTTGCAGGAGAGGCTTTTCTAACTTAGAATATAGACCAGCAAGGTGAACGGAAGGTTGCTGAAGCAAGAAAATACACATGGGGCAAATGGTCAGTAATCTGTACTATTTCATCAGACAACTGGGACAAAGAAGAAACAGAAAATTTATTGACATTTTTTTTTTCCTAAACGCTCACACATAAAGATTTTACTTTACCTTGTGTTCTCAGAAACACTCCAGACATGTTGAATAACCTCTGTTGAACTTTAAAATAGAAAAAGGATTGACTGGGGTGTGTGTGTTTGGGAGTGGAAGTGCAGGGATGGGAGTAATACAGGAAAAAATAAGAGTATTCAGTTCGGGCGCCTGGGTGGCTCAGTTGGTTAAGCGACTGCCTTCGGCTCAGGTCATGATCCTGGAGTCCCTGGATCGAGTCCCGCATCAGGCTCCCTGCTCGGCAGGGAGTCTGCTTCTCCCTCTGACCCTCCCCCCTCTCATGTGCTCTCTCTCTCATTCTGTCAAATAAATAAATAAAATCTTTTAAAAAAAAAAAAGAGTATTCAGTTCAAAGCAGTTGTTGTTACTCTCTGCCTTTCCTCCTCTCTCTCCTCTCATTCTCCAAAAGTTGGGGTTCATATGGAGACCCTGTATAGACTTTAGAGGCTTCTCCCAGGAAGGTTAAGTCCTGCCTACCGCTAGCCCCATTCTGTTGAAAACCAATGATTTAAAAGCTCTTGCTTTAAAAAGGACATTTAGTTCAAAAGAATGTGATGGTCATATGTTAATATTTATGTAGTAAAAATTATGCACTAATGAAAACTCTCTTAATCATTTATAAACAAACAAAAATGCAAGTGGAGACTACTGAAATACCCCTGTATACATCTTTTAAAATAAAAAGAAAAAAAGTCCTAATGATACTTTGTGACGGTAAGACTTTGAAAAGATACTTTTATGAATTCTATTGGTAGCATTGTAAATTGGAACATCTTTCAGAAGGCTACATGTCAATACAAAGTGAAAGTCTAAAGATGGTTCTACTCTGACCAATACTACTACCCAAAGGAAATTGTCCAAAGGAAGTTATTCAGAAGAAATAAAAGGGATATGGATAAGGACTATTATTATAGAATCACTTATTAACCAAAGCAAGAAAACAATCTAAACATCCCATGGTAGGCTTCCAATGCAGCCTGGACCTTTTTCTGTTGTACTGCTCATCACATTTTAATGATGTGACAAACCGTCTCCCTACTAGATAGTAAGCCCCATGAGCACAGGGTTGGTCTAGATTCTTGGCACATTATAAATGTAGATTATAGGAACTAAGAACAGATCAAATATTTGTAATTTTAAGTAAAAATAACACAATATTTACACTAGAATGGGAACTGTAATATATATATATGGAAATGATACAAAAATGAAAATAGTTTTATTAGGAAGGAGGAAACATTGCATAAGTTTTCAATTACTTTCAGTATTCTTCAGTGTCGTTGTTTTAGCCCCTCCAAAACATAAAAAGAGGGAAAATATTTACTGTTACATATACCAAAGAAGACTTCATAGTAGGGATGAAACAGTAAGTACAAAAACTTGGAGTCATTGCCCCCAGCTCCCCCTTCCCCCCAGTATTCAGGTATTCTTTCTTTGTTCAAGGGTAGAAAGACACAAAATACTCCTATATCATAGGTGGCATAATCCTATTTTCAGTAAAAATCTGAAACAAAGGCAATATGTTTTATTATATATATATATTTTTAAAGATTTTTATTATTTATTTGACAGAGAGAGACACAGTGAGAGAGGGAACACAAGCAGGGGGAGTGGGAGAGGGAGAAGCAGGCTTCCCTCGGAGCAGGGAGCCCGATGCAGGGCTCGATCCCAAGACGCCGGGATCATGACCTGAGCCTGAAGGCAGATGCTCAACAACTGAGCCACCCAGGCACCCCTAAAGGCAATATGTTTTAAAGAGACAAGGGAAAAGTCCTCTAAAGCAATCCTTCCTGTGGATAGTGAATTTGCTGGTTACTAACAGCAGGGGGTGCCAAAAGGATCACTATTGTTCCCAGGAGAGGGTCCAGGAGAGGGCCAGTCTCAGTACAGGTTAGCAAAGCTTAAGCTGTGCTTAGAAAACGCCACAGGCTTTCCTCTAACAACTGGGACCTCTGGGTAAAACTCACTCTAGAGACTTGAATAAACAAAAATTATATTTTTATTTTCATTAACTTCTGATATTTAGCATTTCCTTGAACTATAAATGTAGTCAACAAATCACAGTAGTATTAGTAGTACTGGTAACTCTGTCATGAACAGAAAAAACAGATGATACAGCACATTACAGTTGTTGTAGACTTCTCAAATATCATTTATACTCATCACTACTTTGAAGTGAAGCGAGAGACTTCAGGAGTTAGACCTGCTGCTAGATCTTGGTATTTAAAAAGCCATACATACTGGGGCGCCTGGGTGGCTCAGTTGGTTAAGCGACTGCCTTCGGCTCAGGTCATGATCCTGGAGTCTCGGGATCGAGTCCCGTATCGGGCTCTCTGCTCGGCGGGGAGTCTGCTTCTCCCTCTGACCCTCCCCCCTCATGCTCTCTGTCTCTCATTCTCTCTCTCAAATAAATAAATAAAATCTTAAAAAAAAAAAAAAAAAGCCATACATATTACTATACCACAAATTTGTTTAATAATTTCTGAAGTATTTAAATATAATGGAATTCTTTTATATTCTTGTGGATTTTATTTTCTGCATTTACAAACACTTTTTTTCTGGAATGGGCTTATAATTTATAGGTTTTACCAGACTGCCAAAAGCACAGGAAAATTTATCCCTTATCAGTCTAAAGGAAGGCAACTGAGAGGAAAAATGAAATTCGATTTGAACAAAGTTGGAGAAGAAAAGTATTTTAAGTCACAAGACAAAAGTGGCTGCAATGCACATTTTCATATACTTTGGAGTCCATGAAGAGAAAGAGGGAAACCCAGAATTTTTGCTTCAGAGGCTCCAAAGTACCCCACCCAGCATGTCCAAAGGCCTGGTTCACAGATATTATGTTCAGAGATCTACCTAATCCAATTTGTTACTGCAAAGCAGTCTGCATTTAATCTAGGTGCAGAAGCATGAAATATAATGCAAATGGTGTCCCCAACATCTCCCTGGAAGAAGTCACTACAGATGGACATCCAGATACCCAGTATCATTCATATGATGAGCAAAACCAAAAACAAGTCCAAAATCCTAGAAGGCAGAGATGAGATACTGAGATCTGTAAAAGGTCAATACTCACATTCGAACAAAGAGTGACTCTTTGGATGTCAGACCAGGAGATGAATACTTTTCAACCAGGGCCAAGGTACTGAAGCCGAACTTATGAATGGGCTCGTTGGAATCCAGTGGGGGGAAGTCTGTGTCAACCTCCCCATCATCCTCAGCAATATGCAGGCAGTAGGCACTGACATTGTCACTAAAAAGAAAACCAAAAAGGTGAGTGAATACCAAGATGAAGGAGGGATAAGGAGACTAGAGGCTATGGTATACAGCAAGCAAACTGGGACACTGCTGTTTTGTTTTTTTTTTTTACCTGAAAGCCTGGTGATACAGTTAGATTTCCCCCAAATCCTACTTCATTTGATAAAGAGAAAACATGGCAATACAAAGGGGGAGAACAACAATGTGAAATGAGGGCCTTTCCAGTACTCTATTCTTTCAACAAATATTTACTGAGCATCTGTTATAGATAAGATGCAGAACTTAACCCCTTAAATCAAAGATGATATTTAGTATTATCCCTCAAGGAAGCTTACAGTATAGCAAGGGGAAAAAGTAAGTATTACTTTTTAGTTAGCTAAATATAAGTATACATAAAATAAATATCATAAAAGAGACACAAACAAAATATAAAGGAGAAAAAATTATTGGTGCAGGGGAGGAATCAGAGGCCTCTGATTTACGGTCAGGATTAAGAAAATACCTATTGTAGGTTAGGAGAAGTACTCAAGGTAACAAAGACAATCCATACAGTTCTCCTTTCTCTGAAGAGTATCAGACTCACGTGGCAAGATCTGATTCCAAACACCAAGGATACTTAACAGAGTAAAAGCAAATTACCTGAGTTATCCTGATGCGGATAACTGGCCCTCTCAACTACTTCTGGACTTTCCTCACACCCCCGGAACGTCCAGTCTGTACTCCCAGATTCCATCTTAGAGCCAACACACACTTCATTCTCTTTCTTTGGGGGAAGTAAAAAGCCAATTTGCTGAAAAGGGGTAGGAAACTATACCATCATAAAGACAACTTAAAACTTAAAAATCAATTAAAAACACTTTAAGATACCCTGCTCCAAAGATGCATTGTGAAACTGCTAATCTGCTAGCATTCACAGACATGAACCTAACAGTTCACAAGGCAGTAGGGTTCTAAATTGTGCAGCTTAAATTTGGAGTTTTAATTATATGATTGATGCTTAAATTAATTAATTACAAAGTGTATGCTAATTGTTTAATTGGTTGTTTGATCTATATAGATCATTTTTTGAATTAAATGAGTTGATTTACAAAGTTTATTGATTGGATGTGACAATGAATTATTTCACTGACTACCTGATTTGCAATTTTCCCAATTAATTCACAAATCTTTAGCTGCAACTCTGCTTATTGAGAGAGAGCCTACTTCAGGTGATCTATACTCAGTCTGTCATGACTAAGAGATATTTATTATATAAAACAGGTAATAAGGACAGATTAAAATTAATGGGAACTATAAATTTGCTAAATGGATGGTTAACAAGAAAGTAATCTGGCTATGTTTGTCACTATAAATTTCATGTATTTGCAACGCTGTTAAGAAATTTAAAATTCATCTCTGAATGATATGGGAAACTTACGGATCTTTGCAGAGGTTGCTAACTTAAACACCAAACACTTACAGCAGCAGAAGAAAGTCCTTTAGATAAAGAAAATGTCATGGTATGGCAGCTAAGAGCTTTGCGTCCAGAAAGACCTGAGTTAAAACCTAAGCTCCAGTACTCATGCACCATGCGATTTCAGAAAATAAACTTCACCTCCTTGAGTTTGAGTTTCCACTTCTATAAAAAGGGTACAATCATCTAACTCAGAGGTAGTTATGAAGATTAGAGAAGAAGATATATGCAGAGCCTACCATGTAACAGAGGTAAAAAAATAAATGGTATGGTAACTATAATTAAGTCAGATGGAAAATAACTTCTACAGTTACCTCAATCCTTAAAGATGCGTTGTGGATGCATATTACAGCAACAAAACAACAATGAAGCTAAGTGACATATTCTGGAGTTAACATATCGGCAGTGTTCCAGCCTTGGGGCCACTGAGCCTCCAGGGTTTTACGAACAGGGCAGACACTGATGAAGCAAGCAACGGACAGCACAGATTATTTACTGCCGTGTAAATCATCCTGAGGAATGTCTGTGATTCCCCAGCACCACAGAGGTTTCAAGGGCAAATAATAAGCCTATTGATCAAAGCAGAAAGCCAAACATTGGTATCAGAAGAATTCTGCTTTGATTGTCATGGGATGCCCCCATATCCCCTTCAAAACAAACTCAACAACTGTCACAGGCTAAGATCCAAGGGCCAAAAGATTCGCTGCCAAGTGCTACTATTCTCCTCAGTTTTTAAAAACAAAGTGTGAAATTAGTTATTCACTCAAAAAACATTTGCAAAGCACTACCCTGTGCTGTAGCCTGCTCTGAGCACTGGAAACACAGCAAAGAAAAGAATGAATGATTCCCCCTATATTATACAAGATTAATGGAAGTCTTTTCTGGGTCATGAGTAAAATTTAGCAGCAAACAGTACTCCAACCCTTTTGACCCCTTAATAGAACATCTGAGGGGAAAATGACTAAAATTCCATATTCAATGCATGGACATATTGGTTCCTTTGTGCCTTTATAAAGGAATCATTAATAAAAAAAGCTACTATGGTATTTTGACTTCTTTTTTTTTAAACAATACATCTTTTTTAAAAGATTTTATTTATTTATTTGACACAGAGAGAGAGCACGAGCAGGAACACAAGCAGGGGGAGTGGGAGAGGGAGAAGCAGGCTTCCCTCGGAGCAGGGAGCCCGATGCGGGGCTCGATCCCAGGGCTCTGGGATCATGACCTGAGCCGAAGGCAGACGCTTAACGACTGAGCCACCCAGGTGCCCTATGGTATTTTGACTTCTAAAACCTCTTCAGGACTCCAAATTAGTACTAGTACAATAGCCATTAGTATCATTAGCTACATTGAGTGCTATGTGCCAGACACCGTGCAAAATAGTGTGGATGGATATATATAAGCTCAATGAGTCTTCACACCAACTCTGTGAGTTATTTGTTATTATTTCTGTTTTACAAATTAGAAAAGTGAGGCTCAATGAAGTTAAGTGGTTTGCTCAAGATTAAATAGCATGTAAGTGACACACCTGAGATTCAAACCCAGGCAGTTAAGAGCCCTCACCCTTGACCCCCACCTATCCCTCTGCCAATTCCATGGTGTGTCTAGACTTGCCAAGGCCCTTGGGAACCCTTGCTCCTAAGGAAATGCCACATACTTTGAAAAGAAGGAGGAAACCATGACATACTACCTACAAAAAATTAGAAGCTTAGAAAGATTTATTTCAACCTCCTCACCTTTACAGATGGGGAAGAGATGCCTAGAAATGAGGAATAAGATGCCCACGACGACCCAGTTAAAACAGTGGCAAAGCTCGTTCTAGAGAACTCAGGTCTCCTTACTTCCATTCTGTTACTCTTTGATCAAACCAGAAACTGGTGGCATTTTGAAATAGGGAGAGAAAAAGGAGGAAGCTGTGGTCCATGACTCAAGAATACCCCAAATACAGACATCTGGAACTTATAAAACAATGAAAACAGGGGTGCTTCCTCCTTGTGACCTGGTTTGGTAGAATAAAGAGCGGTTTTGCAGTCAGATCTGGTTTTAAAGCTAATTTGACCACTAACCAGCTGTGTGACTAAATCTCTCTGAGCTCCTCCATTTTCTTATCTGTAAAAAGCTTTCCTTGATTTCTCTAGGAGAATCATTTGGATCTCTAGGAGAGAGACTCCAAGTGATTCTCCTCTGTGGTCTTTCAGGACTTGATTAATATTTCCACGTATACTTATCACATGTTTTTCTTATTTATGGTTCTATGTTCTCCTAAAAAGCAAGGATTCTTCTATTGTCTCTGCATCCTCACTGAAGAGTAAAATGGCTGGCATTTAGAAGGTACTTAACAAATATTTGTTGAATGAATGAATATATGAATGTGTAGACTGAATCACTCTACCCATGAAAAAAACATAAAGGGTATTATTAATGATACGTGTGCTAATGAGAAGAGGAGAAGTAATAAGCTTTTCTTTTTCTTTTTCTTGCTTGTCACACTGATATCTGTTAACCAAATGGGGCTTTCTAGGCAATGCACATGTGTCAGAGATTGTAATTCAAGACAAAAGGAGAAAAAGGTCCAGGAAGAGGGGAGGATGAAAGAGGCATTTTTATGGTTCATCAAGATATGAGTACTGGCATCTCACTTATTTTTCTTTCTTTCTTTAAGGGGGGGAGGGGTGGGGGGGGGAGAGAGAAAGAGAATCTTAAGCAGAATCCATGCCTAGTGCAGACCCCAACATGGGGCTTGATCTTAACAACCCTGAGATCATGACCTGAGCTGAAATCAAGAGTTGGATGCTTAACTGACTGAACCACCCAGGCACCACACACCTCATTTTTTACGGAGAAAAAAACACTGAGAAATTATTACAACTATGCAAAAATGTTTAATTATATGCATATAAAACAACTAGAAGGAAAGGTACCAAAAAGTTTACAAAGGTTGTGTTTACATTTAAGCAATGAGCACTTTTTTCCTGTACCTTCCAGATGTCCCATAATGACTAGGTATAACTTTCCTTTTCCTTTATAAAATATTTAACTTATTTTTTGATAAGGGTAAAGCAAGCTTATTAGAAACACGGAACAATTTAGAAATACAGAACAGTACAAGGAAGGTTGGGAAATCTCTCACCCCACTGTAGAATCACCTGTCCTAGAGACTCTCTGCATTGCCTGCCTCATCCACATCCCCTGATTCCTAAGTGGTCATTTTTGTCTATCAAGTCTTGGAATTATGGAGAAAATAACCATACATATCTACTGTATAAGGGTCTTATAAGGATTAAATGATTTAATTGCACAGTACCTGGCATGAAAAAGGATTCTCATTTTGTCAAAATTTCTTCTACCACTTCTATGCTTCTCATTACACAGAAGCAGAATTAACTAACAGAAGCATGGTGGATAGCATGAAATAGAGAACACTAAAAGTTCTGTTTGTGAGTCACTATCAGAGAGACTGAGGAATGATAAAAGACTAATAAACGACTGCCAGTTCATTCTCTATATTTAAGAGTTTGTTTTTTTTTGTCTTTTTTATTCTT